TCCAAATTGTGGGAAATTTAGAGCGCTGCCTCCGCGTTGTGGTAGCGGCAGGGCGTTTTGGTGTCGGCGAGCATCATGCGTTCAGTCGCGGAGACGCAGCGGACCCCAGCAATCTATTGTTAAATGCAGCTAATAATGGACAAAGAATAACTCTAATCACAGCGTCCCGCCCGTCGTGGCGGAAAGCGGGATGACCATGTGCCGCTGCTACCGAACAGTTGCATTCTTTTTCTTTTCGCTTTTCTTCGCCTGGCCCAACAGGCCCACGCACAAGCAGGCACGATCGTCCAGACCCGACGCGCACAAGCGGGCCAGCGCCGCACTACGCCCCCGGGGCTCCCACCAACAATCCCCGTTGAACGCTACACCACATCCGAACAGGCACATTTAAATCCACAAACTTGACGAACAAACACCAACACAAACACACAAGAGCGCGTGCGCACACACCCATCTCCCACCATTCCTCCGGGCCGCCTGTAACCCCACTAGCCCCTTTCCCGTTTGCACACAAACACGGGGGCGGACTCGCCACCAGCCCGTGACCGTTGCCTAACAGCCCCTGACGGGGCTCAATAAAACGCGCGTCGCAAACTCGACCTCACGCACTGCAGGCCCTCCCCACCCTCCAGGCCTCCATCTCCGACGTGCCACAAGCCCAGTCCCCTCCAACCCACCCCCACAGCGCGTAGATCCACTGGAGTTTGCGGTATTCGCACACAGCACGTGAGCGCTAGGGCACCCTCCCAGGAGGGCGCCGTCAAAGGCGGAAAAGACGGATCAAGCCAAGGTGTCCACAATCGCCACCCACAGGAACTCAAAACTCCAGCTCCGATACGTCGAGAGCGGCGACAAGAGATTCTTTTCAAACGAAAGGTCGTACGTTCCACGCCGGCAAAATCCAAATAATGCGCGTCCCTCTCTGCCCCAAACTCCACGAGTTTGTTGGACTCGGTGTCTTGCAACCTTAGCGCCCAAGAGAGCCCTCGTAACACGCTAGCACCCTAAGGGGCGAAGTTATCCAGCCCCTGCCCCCCCTCACAATCCTCTCGCCCCTGTCACCCGTTGGTCTAAAACACCGTATTTCCAGACAGCGCTTTTTTCTATTGCGTGCTACTTTGCTCCAGAGGTGACAGAACGCCCAGTCTTCAAAATTGAGCCTCTTTTGCCCCCTGGCGCCCCAAATCCGTTTCAATGCCCCTGAATGAAAATTACCCTCGCCGAGGGGCAGATGACCGTCCCACACTCCCTCGAGCCATTTCGAGGTTGTCTTGCAGCGTCTCCCACTCAAGAGATTCTTTGCACTACAGGCACAAAACTTGCAATACAAATCCGCCCCAAAATTCGTTCGACAGAGGCGAACCATCTGCCCCCCAAGCCCCCTTCCCCCTTTCAAAACTGACCCTCCCCCCCTGCAGGGCAGGGCCACTCGAACAGATGCGCACCTCAATCCCCTGGAATCCGATTCATCTCAATAGGGTCTCAAAGGTCCATCAAAATTTCGGCCAGGCAGGGGTGAAATCCTCTCACCCTTGGACCCTGGCATTCGGTTTCAATCTGCAGGTGTCTTTGTTGATAACGCACATCCGAGCCCACTCCGCGCCCTCAGCAAACTCGCCAACACACCACGACGGCCACCCCCAGCACGAAGCGCCGCCGTGTCAGTCTGGCAAGACCAGCTTGCGCACGATCTCGTCCATCGTCTGGCACTTGGTCTCGATGAGCAGGAAGTATATGAAGGCCACGCCGCCCACGTTGAGCGCCGCGTACACCATGTAGCTGGCCGCGACGCCGATGGTGTTCAGCATGAGGGGGAAGGTGAACACGACGAACAGGTTGACCACCCAGGTGAGTGCCGTGGCCAGGGCAGCGAGGCGACCCTTGATGCTCTCGGGCAGGATCTCCGAAAGGTAGATCCATGGCACGGGCCCAGCGCCGCCCGCGAAGAACATCATGTAGGCCAGGATGCAGAACAGGGACACTGTTCCGAGCCAGGCCTCGGTTCCTGTAGGAACCCCGGAGGTGAATGCGACTTAAATCACTGCAATTTGTGAGAATATACGGCTTCCAACACGTTTTGAACCCCAGATCAGGCGACTTCCTGGCTGCCAAACATAGACTCAACGCGAACTACAACGGCAAGATACCTTGCTGGTAGCAACATGCCAGCCAGATGGTATGACATAATGATAGTGGCTGCACACCTTGTGGACTGCGTTTGGCAACTCATTCACATTTGCTGCCACATTGCTAGAGATACTGTGCCATGCATCAACATTGGCTCAGAAGATGCACACACTGGCATACTTCGATCAAAACACGTGGATAAAGCATCACAGCATCGACTGACAATGCAAGCCAAGCACAGGTGTACTGTGATCTTTTGCATCTTGCCAAGTGTATCACTGTCAAGTTCGTTTCCTTACCCAGGGTGCTCGTTGCCAGGCCCACAAGGCACAGGCCCATGCCGGCATGGCTCATCAGGAGCAGAGGCCGGCGGCCAAGGTGGTCCACGAATGGGGTGGACAAGACCGTCACCACCAGGTTCACGATACCTGTGTATATCGTTCCTGCAAGGGGGTTACTGACACCAGCCTGCATGAACATCTGAACACAGCACAACACACGTCAAAAGACAGGTGAAAATGTAACAAGGAAGGCAAAAAAAACAGAACAAGTCACACAAAACACTACAATAAATGATACTCATATTGTAATCATGTACATCTGTACAACAGCACAGCCAAACACAAACAAGAGTTCCAACATGTGCACTCGTCCTCTCCAGAAAGTGATGACAGCCTGGGTTCCTTGAAAAGTTTCCTTTCAGTGAAGATCCTTCATTCTCTGTTTTGGCACTTCTCTCAATGGTGATATGTCTCACATGCCAACGCTTACTCGGTGACATTGACTTGCATTGCCATGTGCAACAAATGCAACCCCAAATAGGACAGAAATGAGCACAACACGGTCGGTCCTCATGGCTGTTTGGGAGTGAATGTGAGCAATGAAACACTCTTGGAGCAGACATCGTGGGTGGGGACGTTGGCTGACGTCACCTCACAGGTGCAACACTGTGGCACACGCAGTGAGATCAGAAAACAGGATTGTTCGCCATCAAACAAACAAACATGTATTCATTGCAAGGCAGCCCCGTTCTCTTCCAGGGGTGGCGCCGCATCTGGACTGCGCAAGTCACAATTGGCACACCCCTCATTCTGTACTTCGAGCAGAGGCCCATCACTGCAGCCGCAGTATTTTATCCAAGCAGAGTGCAGTAGCTCAGTCCGCTGCCTCACCGTTTTCGAGTACATCACAACTGTGTTGATGCCTGAGAGCTGCTGCAGAACCGGGATGCCAATCGCCAGGATCACCATCCATCGGTACTTCCTCATCACCAGGGCACTCCACCCTTCCGCAGCACCCTGTGAAACGCAGCACCAGTGAATTAGCAGCGTACTTAGCAACACACATCCTGGTGACATGGATAAGAACATGACACAGGTAGTTTTGCTTGGCTGTGCCAGTGTCCATCGACATATGGATATATGCATTCTGACAAAAGCAACTTCGTAAAGCCTGGCATGCCCCGGAAGGTAAAAGGACGACTCCTGCCGCAAGGCACACACAATACAACAGCATCGACACTGCATACACCAGCACCGTGGCATCAGAATCAGCCTGGGCCAAAAACGCGAGTTCGGGGGCAGGGAGCATGGATGCCCCTGCTGCAAGAAGCACAGCCCAACTTGGTTCAGCTCACGCTGTGTGCCGCCATTTACATCGAAATTACATTATGCAGGCCAGCGATGCGAAATGAAGCAAACTAACACATGGCATCAACGAATAGGACAGTGCAAGTTTGTACCAAACATGGGGCTGGTTCACTGACCTCCTTCCCAGCCTCGCGCTCCTTGATGTACATCGACTCCAGGACGGGGTCGCTGTGGTAGTCAGTGTTGAGGTGGAAAGACGTCATGTCCAGTGTAAGCGCGTTGTTCACTGGGTTGCCACTCACAATCCCCTGCGATGGCCCTGCTGGATAACCCGCCAAGCTGCCATGCGACGACGAACAGTTCAAGTTCCCATAGGACCCAAACGAGCCCAGCAAGTTGCTGTACGAGTCCACCAGGCTCCCGTAGGACCCGGAACGTGACATCGACGGCGATCGCACCATGGCAGGTGGGTGGCCGAAGCTGTGGCGGCGCGAGTGGTGTGTGTGGGGGGAGAGGCTGGAGCGTGTGCGGTGGTGGCCATGGTGGCCGTGGTGGCCGTGGTGACGCGACAGGCGCCGAGGCGTCGACGTGCTCGGGCCAAGCAGGGGCTCGGACATGGGGTTGACGATCTGGTTGCCCAGCTCGCCCCACAGGGCGACCTTCACCGCCGAGGCTTGGGCCTCCTTGCCCTTCCACTCCAGCCAGACGGGGCTCTCTGGGCAGAATGTCAGCATGCCGAGCTACGGAGGAAAGGCGGAAATGTTTGCTGTCAGCGCCATATCGGGTCCAAACACAGCTCAATGGGGTCACAGCAAGGGACTCACACGAGCCTTAGATATTCAGACAAGCTGGACAGGTGTGGGTGTGGCTGCAACGCCTTGATGGCTGCCACACATTTGAGCACCCCCTGATGATACAAATGAACGAGGGCAAGACATTGCATCATGCAAAGCCTCAGACAAATACCTCAGCTAACTCATTTCAAAGGCCATGGCACTGGTTCGACAAGCTCTGTCTTATATCTCTTCCATCGCACAGCCACATGTGCATAGTGTAGAAACGCTTACAAGCCACATCAGCTGCTGTTGACGTTGTGTGAGAGACAAAAGGGCGGGCAATAGTACACTCTGACCAACAGAAGCCAATGGGAGTTCCACGCTAACATTCAAACTAAAAGGAAAGTACTGTGGGCAGCTCAGGCACCCACTGACCTGCACAATGGCTGGCACGATGGACAGGGCCAGCATGACACGCCACCAGGCAATCGTAACACCGTTTATTGTGAAATCTTCAAAATTGAATCCGTAAGGCAGGGCCACAAGGTAGCCCCCCAGGATGCCCACATTGACGAGGACCTGCGCCGCAAACATGATCCCTTATTCAGCACATCACCTGATACCACAGGACAGCTGCCTGCCTAGCACACTGCTCAGCCCTACAGGACAACTCCGAGCTGAACTGTCTGCACCAGCAAGGTGCCAAGAGAGCTGGCTGGCCAGTTTACCCACAATTCACTTGGAGAAATCGATGCCCTTCACCTGGATCACTGCAATCCATGTGCTCCCAGCGCATCAGGCTCACTTGGGCAGGAGACTTTGGCCAAATCCACTGCTATGACAGCAGCTTCAACAGCAGCCCTTAGAAAATCCAAGTGAGCGAACCGGCTCTGGGAAGCAAATGCAGATTGGGTTGCACGAAAGAGGTTGTGCTGCTGTTGAGGGGAACACGTCCCAAGGGACCAACACAACACATAGAAACAGATCCAAACCCCAGCAAAGCACAACCCGCTACACCTCAGTTCCTTACTTATTTCGCTGCAGATGCATTTTGTGACTCCCCTTTGCCCACTGTTATACCATTTCCTAACTCCCGGGAGCCTGTTTGCTCCCAGCCGACCACATTCTTGACATCGACGATGATGATGATCATGGTGATGAGAAATGAAATTCCATTAATTGTATGTAAGCCACCTAGGGTCATGTTGCCACCCAACCATACAAGAAAAGCATGTCCATTGTTCGTCCAAGTGCCTTGACATCGACGATTCCATGCTCAGAGACCTGTAGCTACCAAGCAAAGGACACCTGACATTCAATTGTTTCGATTTTGGAGTTGTTGAATTGCCGATCTTTCAGCACAGTGCATTTTTCCAGTCTCCCACAAGGCCAATATGCAGAACAAGGCAAGAACTGACCTGATACCAACCACCCATGGATCCCCTGAGGTTGACAGGGGCGATCTCTGCCAGGTATCGAGGGGTGTAGAGAGAAGCACAACCGGCACCTGCCAGCCAAAGCACCATTAGACTGTGCGCACTCCAAAAAGTGGATGCCCCAGACCGTATGCGAACTTCAGCTGACACTTGACAGGCCTAAGCTGCTAACTGAGCTGTTGCATTTTTTGAAACCAAAATGCCCTCGCATGGCCACAAAAAGGGAAACCGAACCTGAACTCATGTGCTGCAGGGATACTCTGCTCTCATTTTCCGCTCTTCTGAGCCGAAATCTGCTAATCAGTTGATGTGCCCAGTGATGATCAGGACAGAGACCACAACAAGGGACATAGCGATTTGTTGAACAGATTGGCTCGGACAGAGTGCAAACGAATACAATCCATACATATCACAGCAATGCACATGCTACGTTGTGATGTCCAAACACGCTCTACCAGCGACACCCAATAGGTGTAAGGCCAGTGACTAGCCATGTTCTGATGCATGCAGTCAAGGCAGATTTCCACATCAGAGGTACACAAGCTCACCAAATCCAGTGATGATCCTCCCAACCAGAAGCAATTTCGGCACACAACCATTCAGACGGCCCATTCCTGTCCAGCAAAATTGTCTCTTCGTGGAGACAGCGCTTAGGGCACCTCCAATCACAAAGAATAAAACATTCACAACCTGTACACAGCACACAATGCTTCAGCCCCAGTCTGGCGTATGGGACACATTGAGGGCCTCATCTGCATCGAAAGCGTGCGTCAGGAGCGTCCATGCCAACCAGTACATATATCACGATCATGGGACCATGGGACACAATTGCGGTAGGAGCACGTGCACGGGACAGGCGCCTGAAGTGCACCCGATAGACTTTGCGGTTTCAATTCGTTGTCATGTATTTGTTAACTACGAAAAGCAAAACAGCCCAAAGCACAGACCCATCCGCCGCACACACTCGTGTCACGGTGGGCTCCAATGCCCTCATTCCGACTAAGGCGACGAACTTCTGTGCCGGGTCTAAAACATGAGTATTGAGCAGCACATCCTGAAAGCTCTCACTCGGCAGCCCCGACAGCCACCCTCCCGAGATCCGCGACCAAGCGGTATGATGCCTCTCGGCCACGCAATTACGAGGAAGATCACCCCATCAACCCCCCGATTACTCCCCTCTTCGCCGACATCAACCGGGCCCCTTCCAGAAGTACGCGGCGCGCACGTGACCGCTACGGCCACCCCTTTTGCAGTGCACCCCTCAGGGACGTCCCGCACCCAATGCACGTGCCAGTCCTGCCCCGTCACACCTAAAGTGCGATTGAAAGTGCCTCCCACAGGGATCCCAGCGGCGGGCCGGGACGCTCGCCCCTTCGCGACGGGCAGTCTCGACGAAGGTCGCGGCTGCGGCGCCTGCGCCCCTCCCCCCCGCTCCCCGCTCCGAAAAAACAGAGGCATGAGACGAGAAAGCATTTGATGGGGGGGGGAGGGGGGGGGGGGAAAGAGCGATGCGAGTCCGGATTGGCCGGAGCCCCGCGCAGGATGGCTGCGCGCGGCCGACGCTGCGAGGCCACGCGGTCCTCCCACCGCGAAACAATCAAAAGATCGGACAAGCGCTCCGAAAGGCCGGGGAATGCCGCCATCGACAATACGCCACCGATCAGCCACTGGGCCCCACCTGCGCCCTTTTCGGTCCGACGTGGTCCGCGAACACTCCGGCGTTCAGGGCGCCCGCCGCGGCGCCGAGGAGCATGATCGACACCACCACCGCGCCGCCGACCTCCTTGTTGAAGTTCAGCTCCGTCGCCATCGTGTCCAGCACCTCGTTCAGCACCCCCATGGCATACCCTGCGACGGCAAACGCGCAAGGAGTTGGCCTGCGGAGTCTTTGGCGGGGCCCACGCGCCGCGCCCGGCCGCATTGGGCCGCGATCCGAACCCAAGCCTAAAGTCACGGCGCTCCGAAACCCTAAACTGCCAAGCCCTATTGGGATCCAACCGGAGAAGGGGGCGGGATGACACGCGGGTGCCCGAGGTAGCCACTTTTGATGGGCTGTTGTCACGACTCGAGAGTCGAGGACGCGACGAGGAGAGAGGACGATGGAGGCGTGGGGCTGAGGAGGAGAGTGGAAAAGAGGGGCCGGGGGCGGAGAAATGGGAATCGGTCGTTGATGGATGGCGCGAGACGTCCTGATGCCGAGTTTCGGCGCAGCGAGGAAGCCAGCCCAGGCATCAGATCCGGCGGGGGGGGGTCCCCGCCGCCCGTTCTGGCAACCATAAAGGGCACACGCTCTCGAGCGATTGTGCAGGTCACGGGTAGGTGGGAGGGGAGAAAGGATGCCGTCACCTTCGGCTGTCCCGGCCGGAGAGGCCAAGCTGCGCAAACGTCACCAGCGCCCCCTCATGGGACGCCTCGCCCCGCGCGGCCCACGGCAAGGGGCCCCGACTGCCCGCCGTGCCGCGGCAAGCGAACGCAAGCCAGCAACGAGATCGCCGCCGGTGATCGCGCCGCGCCGGCCGGCATCAAAACGCCGAGGCGCCCCCGCGGCGCATCTGCCGCCGAGCCCCAAACCCGCGTGAACCTCACCACCGACCGCCCAGCCCATCACGCGAGGCCGGTCTGCCCCTGCGCCGATCGCCTCCCCGACCAATCAGCTCCCACACAGCCCGGCGATCAAGCCCCCACTCCCGGGCACCCGCACCGCCGGCTTCCCCCGGCAAACGCCCCGGAGCCCCAGGCGCCGGCCGGCCCGCAGAATGATGCGCCCCCTCGCTGCGCGATCCACCCCTGCGCCATCTGGCCGCGTGATCGACCGCCTCGGCGCCCCGCACCCCTCCCCAGGCGACAGATACGCCCCCCCGCGCGCAGCGCCCGATCATCGCAGCGCCAATCCACCTCGCCGGAACGCCGCTTGTGGGGCCGCCCCCCGCCCCGCGAAGCTGGAGCGGCGCCCGACCACCGACTCCGTAACTCCGCAGAACAAGCCCGCATCCAGGCGGCAGCAAACACGGAGATGCTCCCACCGCACGGGCCATTCTTTCGACTGGCCAATCACGCCCCCATCAAGCGCCCCAGCGGCCCCCCCAGCCCCAAGAAATCGATGAAGTCCCGCCCGGCGCCGAAATGCTCACCGTACTCAAACGCCCCCAGCAGCGAGGCCACCACCGCCACCCACAGGATGGCCGGCAGCCCCATGCCGGTCCGGGGGCCGCGGTCCAGTCCGGGCATGCGACGGGGTCCTCCGGTGACAAGCCCCTGGCCGCGACCGCTGGTTCCGCCCCGCGCCTCGAGTGCGCGGTCGCGAAGCGGCGAGCGGGGCAGCGGTACCCCTTGGCACAGGCACGGCCCTCTCTGGCGGATCCTCGGGAGCGCGGGACAGTAAGGCACAGCAGACCGCACGCCCACACTTCAAAATTGCGCCGGCCGTGGCAAGCTGGCGAGGAATAAATCGCCGCCGGGCGCGCCCCCAGGCGCCCCCGGGGTTGGGCCTCCCATGAGAGGCACGAGGGTGAGTCATGCGCTGGGTGCGGCGGCTTGTCGGGAATTGCCACGTCAGCTGGCATTCGGAGTGACGTGTGGCCACGGGTGCCGGCGCCGGGCGGGTCACCTTCCTGGGGCCTTCTGTGTGGATGACCTTACGGCGTTGTGTAACTGGGCAGGTGACCATGGTTGGGAGGCGGTGGGCTTTTGGCGCACGGGGGGAGGGGGTAGCTGTGTGGGAGGATTGGTGGGTGAGTTGGAAGCTGGAGGCGAGGGGGTAACATTTTGGCGGGCCCAGGGGCCGCTGCCGTGACCCTGTTTGGGGTGGGTGCCGCCTAGGAGAGTTGCTGGAGATTGAATGTGGGGAGGCACCGGCTGGCCCAGTCGGCGGAGGCGCTGGGATGGTCACCCGGGTGCCCTCTGCAACGTCACAGGCCACAATGCGGCTGCGGGCACCAAGCAGGCGCAGACCACGTTCAGTGTTGGAGCACCCGGTAAATTGCCAGGGGTAGATTGATTTCTAACGTCGGTCACCGAAGTGCTCAATGGCCAGTCGGCCAGAGTCTGGCCAGAGCATTGCAATGCATTCCAACTGCTCAAGGCCCATCTCCATATGTGGCAGCAATGACACCGGAGCCTCGTCCAAGTAGTGGTATTACTGTAGGAACTTCGTATGGCATTAGCTCCAGGCGTATTGGGTGTGTGGGAAGCACAGTTTGCTGGATTCCATGCTTTCAGCGCTCTGGAGGTGCAGGCAGGTAGGTTGGAGGGCGGCACCTGAGGCGCGAAGCCCATCCGCATCGCCCTCCATGTCACCAACACCTCACAAACCAGGGCACCCGATATTCGAATTGCTCCACCACGAACCAGAGAAGGTTCGTAGAATCTTGCTGTCATAGGTCAAGCGACATGAACCAGCACATGTCGTGGGCAAGTGAAGCAGGCTCTTTGGTATGCACTGCAATTCTACTGCTGGCATCGAGGACCTCCCCGGTTATGGTTTTGTGGTTTCATTTTTAGGGTGTCCACAGACTACAGGAGGAGCCTACCCCTAGTTCGCACAGTGGTTCGACAGAAGCTCATGGGCATGCGCTCAAGGAAACATACAGTGCGGCCACCTCACCTAGCGCTGTGCCTATTTCGTGGCCCTGGCGGTACGCTTGGAGTCACTGGTGCCATGTCAGTTGTAGATTCTTGACTGGGGCAAGTTGCAACTCTCGGCTATGTTAGCAGCTGGTGCAATCGGCGAACACTGAATACACAAGGCAGCACTGGCTCAGAAGAGGGATAAATTTTCAACAATTATGAAACTTGGTTCGTATCAGCAAGGATTTGCTGCGAGACCCTAAATTCAGAACGTTGGAAGTAGCAGTTTCCAGGTGTAAAATGGTCTAACGATCTGTACTTTACAGGACTTTATTGCACCACTTTTCCTAAAAGGGTATCAGCCTCTAAAACAGCAAATCCACCAGGTTGCTGCACCCGAAACTTTGGCTCAGGTAAATGGTCCTTCCGTGGCGCGCTGTGGCAAAGTGTTGATCGCTTGCATATATTGGGCATATACAGCCATACAGCCAATATTTTTGATGGGGTGGATTTCTTCAGGCAAAATGAATCCTGAATCCAATCGAGATCGATCTCGGATTCAGCCGATGTCCGGTGCGCATGCCGCCCGGTGTGACCGACGGCGCTGCAAACGTTATGCCCCCGCCGCCCAACGCCTGCGATTCCACATTCAGCGGCAAGCTTCGACTTCACACTTCCGCAGGGCCGCCGCCGAACCGCCGCCGCCGCGACCACGGCGGAGCACAGGCACCCACTCAACCCCACACAACAGCACCGCAGACGGACCCCACCTCATGCCATCCGGATGGGGATCCCCCGTCGAGTTCCACCGCTTCGGCCGGCTGCTCCCTCTACCCCGGAAAACTCTTCAGCGCCTTCCATCACGGCCGCATTCTCCTAGGTCTCTAAATATCGTCGAGCCCAGTCTCGCCAATCGCCCGCCGATCGACTCAGTCCACACTTTGCGTCGTTTTCCGCGCATACTTTCCTGGAAAGAGCGAGGCCCAGCCGCCATGGCGATCCGACGCTCGGGCGTGGACGGGACAGAGCCGCCGCTTGGCGCACCGATCCGTAAGGGGCGAAATTGCGAAGACGAATTCCCTGCGGCATCGCGTCCAGATGGTTTCACGAAACGGCAGATAGGTAACTTCTAAGCTTGGGGGAGAGAGGACGGGGGGGGGGGGGGGGAGGATTTGTTGCAAAGAGAAACAGGTCGTGCAAAGGGCACCCCAAAGTACTGTATGCCAGACTAGTCCCTTGCCGCGAAAAGATTATGTTGAGTCTCCAAGGCGAAATGTGAGCACACTGGCGGCGGGGGAGTGCCGATTGGGTCGCTCGTGAGTGCGGCCCGACCGGCAGCCGACGACGGATCGACACAGCCGACAGGCTGCAAGGCGCCGCTCACCATGGCCTCCGAGACGGATCCAAACCACCTCGGGATTTCTCTTGCCGCTGTTTGATAGAGCGGCGAAGATCGCCCCGCGGACGGCCGCCGGAGATTTTGCCTCGCCGCCGGCGGCCCTAGATCGAGACGGGGTCGATTGTCCGGCTCGCCCGCTGACCTCTCAACGGCAATCGTCAAGTGAGGCTGGCGCCGTTGGCGATGCATGGGCAGTGTTTTGAAGCCTGCGGGGGCCAGCGCGTCGGGAGGCTCGAGCGCGGTCGACGCGAGGCAACCCTAGCAGTTTGCGACCTGCACGGCACCATGACACCGCCTGAGGCTGTCATGGCGGCGTCCCGGCGAACTGCCAAGTCACAGTGCAATTTGATGGGCGAACCGCTCCCCCGAACTGCAAAAAGCACCACACGCACGCCCCACACGCGAAATGTATATTGGCGGTGTTGGTGGCGAAATGTAGGGCTGCGGGCGCAAGCCAGCACAGGCTTGTTACAAACGCCGCAAACACAGATCGTATTTACGCTTTCACGCATAAAAATAAGTTTTGCGGTTTTGTTGGCAAAAGGTGTAATATTATGTAAATGCAGCGCAAATACCCACCCGTGTGCATAAATACAGTACGCAAAGACTTACGGAGTCCGGGGAGTGGGAACCAGACGGGCTCGAGTGGGTAGAAAACGAACTTGTGTCCGACGACATCGTTGCCTTTGCCAAGGGGCAGGTGGGCGCCATGTTGCGCATGTTGAGGGCGTGGAGGACTGATCATTGTAAGCGAATTTCATCGTGTAACCTATATGTCCCAACGAGCCGTAAGAACGTAAATGTAGCCGTAACTAGCCGCTTGTGCAAATTCACGTTTTGACACATAAAACTGTGAAAGTAAAAACGTAAACCTAAACGGAAATAACAAGCCTGAGCCAGTACACTACGGGCCGTTCATTGGCGCGACGCAAAGTCGACTGAAGGCCCCAGCAACTGTGAGGACGACCACAAGACCGCAGGAAATGCTTGAAGCTAAATAGGCGTTCGCTCTCTGGACTAGAAAGTGTCATGGCTCAGCCTTGGCGGTCGTTGGAGCGCAGCGAGGTGAACGAAATGGACCGATCCGTTGGCAAGTGATAATGAGAAGGACGCCATGAAGCGGTGTGGAGTGGCGATTCGTTAGCTGCGCTGCGCTGTGGCCACCGCGCTGCCTGGTGCGTCCCTTGTGATGAAAGTCAGTGCGCGCGCGATAGGTACCAGGCTTATCATTGTCGCAGTAAACACAGATCGTATTTGCGTTGTCACATGTATGTGAAAATAGTTTTTACGCTTTTGCACATGAAAATGCGTAAAATACGTAAATAACAACGTAAAAAGCGCCCCGTGTACATAAGTACAGTACATACAGCCTTCGGGACTCCGGGGAATGGCATCCAGACGCACTGGAATGGGCAGAAAATGAATATTTTTCCACTCCATTGTGGCCCTCGCCGAGTGGGAAGCGGACGCTGTGTTGCGCATGCTCAAGGGGGCCGCTACGAATAGGATGTGGGTGTGGGGTTCCTGCCCTCTTTGAGCCGCGGACCCGCCTCGCCGGGCACCTAGGTCCTTACAGGGCACCTAGGCGGGACTACCCCTCCTACTCCCGTATCCTAATATGGATAAAGGTTACAGTGGGTGAGGAATAGTACGTGCCTTGGGCAGGGCGTCCCCCACACCAAGGGCCATTAGTAGGACGCCTCCCACATCAGGCTGGTGCGCGTAACATTCGTCCCCCTCAGGGAGAGGGGCGTCCTCGTCCCAGTATAAGTGGATACGGGAGCAGAAACATTGTATGTATGTTGGTGGAACTGGCTGTGCGATTTGCCACATGCCCAGTTAACCAAACACAACACACAAAACAGTTTTGGATGAAGAGAAAGAGTGGTTGTTTTACATGACCGTCCCGGCCTTCACAACCCTCATTAAAACTCTTCCTCAGCCAAGTGGCTGGAAATGTTTGACCTCCCGGCCTTTCCTCGGCGACCACGATGCCGAGTACCACCGAAGAAATGCCTACCGGTATTGCAGACGGGTTCGGTGGGCGGCATCATTGCCGCTTCATCGCCCACAAGCAGCACGCCAGCAAGACGGGAATGGCACGTAGGGGCCGGGCGGCTTCCAACCTCTCCCCGTTGAGGATCAAGAACGGACATGGCGCTCATGTGTCTAAATCGGCGACTCAGACGGGGCAAGATACCTGTTTTTCCGCTCCAAATAAGAAGAGAATCTGGCTAAAAGCATAAGCACACATGAGCATGTT